GATGATGATGAGGAGGAGATGATGATGAGGAGGAGATGATGATGAGGAGGAGATGATGAGGAGGAGGAGGAGATGATGATGATGGGGAGGAGGAGGAGGAGATGATGATGGGGAGGAGGAGGAGATGATGATGATGGGGAGGAGGAGGAGGAGATGATGATGATGATGATGGGGAGGAGATGATGATGGGGAGGAGGAGGAGGAGATGATGTGGAGGAGGAAATGAGGGGAGGGGGAGGAAATGGGAGGAGGAGGGAGAAGGAGATGAGGGGAGGTGAAGGGAGGAGGAGAGGGAGAAGAAGATGGGGTGAAGGGAGAAGGAGATGGGGGGAGGCGAAGGAAGGATAAGATGAAAAGGGAGAAGGAGATGGGGAGGAGGTGAAGGGAGAAGGAGATGGAGGAGGTGAAGGGAGGAGGAGATGGGGAGGGAGTAGATGAGGAGAGATGTTTGTTCTCTGTAATTCCTCAGAAATGAAGTAGGCAGGGCTGACACCACATGCTTATGAATACAGGGCTGTGTTGTGATGTCAAAGAGGAAGTTAGGAGCACACTATATTTCTGGCACATTGGCCGTTATTTTCCTGTACTTTCAGCGTGCTTAAAAAGGTTAAAACATGGGAAAATTTACTTTTTTTTCCTCGACGCACTTAAAATTATGCTAAATTCTTTATTTTCTTTCTGTTTTTTCATTGTAATTTTTTTCCATTTTCCCCTCCAAATGATCTTTTGTCTATTCAGTATTTTGTGTATGCTCCTTTTTTAAATTTATTTACATGTTTTTTTTTTACTTTACAAGCATTTTTGTATCTACACTCCAGCACTATTAAATATCAGCTTTTATTGACCCGGAATCTGCTAATCATTTAGATTCCACTTCCTGTGATATAAATCTGAATTCTTGCTGGCATGCAGCACTGTGACATTTACCGAGTCTATGTGCTTTTAGGACCCACAAGGCCCTCACCACAAGGAATCCACATCCTCCCCTGCCTACTCATCAGTCCGTCCTTCCAGGGTGGTCTCGTCCACATCGGAGGAAGAAGAAGCGTTTACAGAGAAGTTTCTAAAGATTAACTGCAAGTACATAACTGATGGAAAGGTACGTCTGGTGTGTTCATTTATTTCTATAAACGAGTCATGCTTTCCTGTGGCTGAAATTCACTTAAAATTTGCTTACAGCTGATCTTCTGCACAGTGTTGGTGAAGGGAAGGGGGGGTGGGGGGGTTAGTATGTATGTAACGCTAACTTGTTTTATATCATTCGGCTCTTCAGCTGGTTTACAGGTTGTATAAATGACAGGTTACAGTGTACTTGGACAGTAGGCTCCATTTATGGACCCGTTCACTCACACATGAGCATTGCTGGAACATGAGTTTGTGCATGCTTTTTTTTTTTTTTTAATAGCACACCAACATGCCATCATAATGCACCTGTGCACCTTGTGGTGTTCTGTGCTGGAAACAATAGACTGCATTTTTTGTTTGTGTCCTGAAGTTCTTTTTTTTTTGTGTGTGGTTTAAATGGGCCTTTAAAATAAAAGAGCAAAGGGAAGTATGGCCAAAGGGTTAATAAAACCTATAGGCACTATTACAACCTTGTATGTGGGTGCTGCAAACTGGTGGTTGATATTAGAGGTGCACTGAAATGGAAATTTTCAAAACCGAAACGAAACTGAAAAAAAAAAATTGTCAACCCAAAAATGTTTATTTTATTTTTTTTCAAATATTTTTATTTTTTTAATAAACTTTTATATTTTTAATTTTTTAGTAAATATTTTTATTTTTTACATTACTATGTGCTGGCTCGCCCCTATACTGGGACCTGCTGGCTTTCCACTTTACTGGGACCTTGCCCCTTTACTGGATTCTGCTGTGGTGCCCCCATACTGGGACCTGCTGGCCTGCCCATATTTTTCAGGCTCTTCTAGATAAAATATATATTCTGAGAAGTCTATGTGGGAGTCCGGCACTTGACCTAAAGAAAAATCAGACCCACCTTTAAACTGAATTAAGAGGGCAATGGATCCACATTAACAATCCTGATATAAACTTGTGCCTCCAAGTCTAATCCACTCAGAGTGGAGATGCCCTTTTAATCATGCCTGGTTCATGGATTAAATCAATATTCAGTCCGTTCACATGCTTATAGTGAAAATACTATGACCATGCTCCTTGCTATGAGTTTTACATGTGCTTGTATGTATTTTTTTTTGTGCAGGGCTCGGTCAGTGGTGTACTTCTCATAACGCCAAATAACATCATGTTTGATCCTCATAAGACAGACCCACTGGTGCAGGAGAATGGCTGTGAAGAATATGGTATCATGTGCCCAATGGAGGAGGTGACCTCGGCTGCTATGTACAAAGAAATAGTCAATAGCAAATTGAAAGATATTCCTGTGTAAGAATACTCTCCTAAACTTTTATTGTCGCCATGCTGTTATACACCTATATTTTATGAACCTGTGCAAACACATTTATATTGAATACATCTTCCTTTTTTTGAGAGCTGAAAAAAGCAACCACCTTCTGTTCTAACAAGGCAAGAGCCATAATTGAGGTTTTTTTTTTTTTTCTTGCCTACTGCACAATAACTGCTCTACTATATTAAAGCCATCGTTTTCATATGCTGCACCGATGAGACCTAATAAACCCGAAACAGCTGCATGACCGTTTAATGTATTTAGGTTCTTAACTGTAATATACCATCAAGTAGTTGGTCACAGGGGTAAAAAAAAATATTTTTACGCCTAAGAGACAAATATAAATCTCACTTCTTGAAGTCATGGCAGAATTTTTACTTGAGTTTTATAATGATGAAAGCCTATATAAAGATGATACTTTAAAGCACTTCTTCATTATTTATTGGCGCTGTAATGAAAATAGATTACATTAGTACATTGCTTGATATTCTCATAATTGTATTTTACAAACATATTGTCAGTCTCTTAAAAAAATCTTGATGAAAATTCCCTGCAGTAGATGAATCGCTATACTCTCCTCTCTGTTGGTCTGTGTCTTCTAACTTCCCTGCATTTCAGCTCTGCAGGCCACATCAGACTCTTTAGCGTTCAATATTTCCAGTGGTGTTGGATACCATTGTTCCTGTGGCAGGCCCCTTACCTCTACACCACTGCTGTGTCTCTGTTTCAATGTCGGGGTTGGAGGATGAAACCATAGCGCATAGCGGGGTACACGATCATCCAAAGTCTACCGGCAGCGTCGCATGCTAAAGAGTATGATGGACGCTGCAGCACTGGAACAGAGGGAAGGTAGGAGACGCTGGCTGTCGGAGAGGTTGGTATAAAAGCTCTACTGCTGCAGGAAGTATTTATCTGGATTTTTTTCAAGCAACTGACAGGTTCACTTTAATATACACATTTGTAGATTTCACCTGTGTGGAAAAGCATAGGTTTTCTTCAAGCAGATCCCTTTGACCCTTTCGCTGCCAAGGACGTATGGCATACGGACCTGCAAAAGTGCTTCCAGCTGGCCAGGTAAGGAACTGAATGTAAAATTTACTACAGTTATCCTTTAAATAAACCTCTTCCCCCAGCACCTTCCCAAATTCCACACTTGTCCACACTTCTTTTAGATCTTCACTTTGGGACCCATTGGGAACTCAGCAGCCTCTTCACCAAAAGTCTCTCCGCTGGAACACACATGAGCAGTAGAATCCCCTAATGGCATTAAGGAGGAACTTTCCCCTTTTCTTAACAATGACAACAAAGATACCTTTAGAAATGTTTAGTAATGACAATGTACAAACAGATACTTCTAGATAATTGCCGGCTTTTTATTCTTTGCATACCTTATTTTTTTTCCTCCTTGTTCTTCTCACAGTGGCCCTGATTAATCCATCCCCCTTTACTTCCTGGAACTCTGGCACATGTGACTAGGACATGTGACCATGCACATCATCTTGGGGGGGGATGCCTTTCCCTGGGGTCTTGCAAAATTTTGCTGTTTACAGAGGAGATTTCCCAGCAATGCACTGTACTGTAATCTACCCCAGGATGCATCTTTTAGGCATGGGCTACATCACTAATGCCTAAGAGGACCGGGAAGTGGAAAAGCAGTAATTTTTCAGTAGAAAAATATGTTTAACTAATGAATATAAGATAGTTTCATATCCGCATGCAGAGCTGCACACTGATGTGATTTTTAGTTAAAGGGGCTAAAGGTCCACTTTAACGGTAGATGGCCCTTCCATAGAAATGAATGAGGAGCACGTGTGGCCTCGTAGGCATACTTTTGTGTGACCAAGCTGTGCAGTTCCTAGCAGACTCCACAGTGGGGATCAATGAGGAGTGTGGACAGGTAAGATGTGGGGATGGGTGTTTCTTAAAATTTTAAAAGTGCATAAAGAATATCTCTTTTTTGTTTCATAGCGATATAGAGCAGCTGACCTGTATGAGGGATTTTTGCAACTTTAAGAAAGTTTCTCAAAGTAATACTCACGAGTTGGATTCAAACATGTGGGATACCGGAAATGACAGTGCCAGCACCGCCCCCCGTAGCACCGAGGAGTCCTTGTCGGAGGATGTATTCACGGAATCGGAGCTGTCTCCTATTCGAGAAGAGGCGCATTCCTCCGACGAGCTGCGACAGGACAAATCTTCAGGAGCATCCTCCGAATCCGTTAAGACAATCAACCAACCAGCAGGAGAATGTTCCACAATAAACCCTTCAGACTCCACAGATGCTTTGCATGATAAAGGCAGTGGCGATCCTTCAGCCAATGACAGTGGGATCGGCAGCAATACCAATGATTTGGAGAAGAGCGACGCATCCATTAAGGTAGGTGAAGACTTGGATAAAGTATCCGAAACATCTGCGGAGTTACAAGCCAGTATGGAGCTGGAGGAAATGGAAGGTGCAGGTAACAAATGCAAAAAGGAAGAACAGGGGTCAGACAGTGAGCTTAAAAACAGAGCTCTGAGTGTTGATAATGAGGAATCTGAACCTGGAAACCATGGAGAGGAGACGGCAGGAGGAGCACAACTACAACCCTCATTAGGAGACTCTGAAACAGAAGTGGAGGAACTGAGGAAGCTTTGGAAAAATCTCACTATGCAACAAGCCAAGCAGCAGCGGGAGGACATGCAGCACGCCACGCAGAAAGAGCATAAGCCAAAGATGAGCATGGATTCTCATGCCGAAGGTAAGAACTTTACTGTGAAGTGGAGAATGTGACTCAGTCTGTTTTCATACTCAAAGGCTTTCCAGACTTTTGTACAGATAATGTTTTGACACTATATGCTAAAGACTTGTATGAGGCTAAACGTGTGCATGATCTTTACCGAACTTGTTTCCCTTGATAAGTGTAGCTGCACTTCCCAAAAAAAAATTAGGTCACAAATTGTTCAATTGTCAAGATGGGCTTTGTAAACTAGCAATATAGGTATATACACCACTACTTCTGTGTGTATCTATATAGATAGATATATGTTTGTAAATATGGATATATACTGGGTGTGTGGCTGTGCAATCTCTATATGCCCTAAACCATGTTGCATGCTTTAGGGAGTAGAGATTGGATAAAATCCAATTTTGCTGCTTGCTTTTTGGGGAAATTTAGACTTTTCCTTTTTTGCAGGTTTTGTCTGGGCTCAAGACTGGTCAAGGATAGAGGTGCTTAGAATTCATAGTTTATATAAAAACTAACAGATCTCATTGACGTTTTAAACTGACTTTAAGGTAGAATATTACCAATTAAAAAAAACAGGGCCCCTGCAAAAGACTGATCAAACGTAAAGGAGAACTATGAGCTGAGTGATTTCCACTCATCCTCTTAGTTAGAGCCGATGTGTGACAAAGAAGCTGTCACCGGTCGGCTCTATTGATCGGGAAGTGAGCGAACACATACCATTGCTCGCTCACTTCCCAATCATCTCCCTGCAGAGAGTGGTGACTGTCAGTCATCGCTCCCCACAGGGATTCCCCCTCTCCGATACTCCAGTGCTGACTGGAGGAATGGACGGAGGAGGGGGCGAGCCCGCTATATACTTTGTTGGTTCATGGGAGGTTAGTATATGTCCTCATGTGACCCTAAAGAGAACTATAAGATAAAAAGGTTACCCCATGGTTTTCTTTTAACTCTCAGGTTTGCACTAACTCAGATCATTGCTGCTGTAGAAAACTCTTCATGTGTCAGATACTTGATCCCCCTATTTGTGCTTTGGTTTCCTCATTGGCCACTATGGCACTACTGTATCCTGTGGTGGCATTGGGGTCAGCGGATTGGAACCACAACTTTTACTTTATAAGAATACAATACAAAATAGCCTGTACTTCTAAAAATACTCCACCTGGCTGTGCCTGGCTTCTGCACTGCAGGGGTCACTGCCCTGATAAAGAATTATTCATCGTTATACTTGGCATACAGTTTGACTACATTGTAGCCGTTATGTTGGGATTTTTAAGGTGCAACAAGTATTATATACAACGATCTATTCAAATATATACATTTTTATTATTAACAATTGAAAAAGTCCGTCATAAAATCAGCATGTTGGGAGATATCCCAGCTTAGTTTACTTGTACCAACGTCAGATCATCCTTGTAGCTATGCAGAGTTAAGTCCACGGTATATAGTAGATGTTGTCCAATCCTATAAATATAGGTACCCAAGATGAACGCTAGACGTGGGGGGCCCCAGCTCTGACCAGTGTGTTTGCTGATCCTTGTCGCTTGGCTTTGTGGATACTGGATCTTTCTCTGGGCCTTCTGGATTCCCCTATTGTCCCCAGGTCAGATGATCCTTGAAGCCTGGTGGTAGATGAAGGGTGCATCGGAGGATGGCCAGCCCCTGGATGCATATATGTATCACCAAATACAGTAAAGTCTGATGAAGCAGATTTTATTCTGTGAAACGCGCCACTACCACTATTGTTTTCAGGCTGTGATACAGTGCCACGCCTAGCTCTCATCTTGGACACCTATATTTATAGGATTGGACAACATGTAATATATACCTAGGACTTCAAAACGCTGTATACATATAAGCATGATCTGATGTTGGTAGAAGTATACTAAGCTGAGTTATCTCCCTACATGCTGATTTTATGACTGGCTTTTTAAAATGTTAATTATACAAATTTTTATATATTTGAATAGATTGTTGTATATGGTACTTGTTACACCTCAAAAATCCTGACATAACGACTACTATATAGTTAAACTGAATGCTTGCTCTTTAAAAATCTGGGATGTGGTGTTAGATTGTGTCATTTATGGTGCTGTTGTAATTATTATAATCTGTATAATTGGATAAAGACCTATACAGGTCACTGACTTTGTAAGTATTGCATTAAAAGTCTCGGCATAGCAGCCTGGCTACCATCATGTTTAGAAGAAGTCAGCATTGGCCTCCATATTTCTCTCATGACGCATGTACATGAAGTTTCCAATTCTTGGCGCCTAAATATTTACAGAGCACCCTGTTAAGAGATGTTCTGTAAACTTGGGGTACAAAAGAACCAATCTCAGCTGTATGTTTTCTAAATTATCTGTTGATACAATAGCCCCTATAGTCTTCACATATCTCCATTACTGATGATGAGGAATGGAGAGAAATAATGGAGTCTCATCAATACACATTGCCTGCAGGAAGCAAGCAGCTTATCCAATTCTTGACTAGTATATCAGACATATTTAACACCCATTTAGATATACTGGACACATTGTAATTCCTCCTCTAAATGATTACATTGCTATCAAGAAAACTCTGCATGCTATAACGTTATTTTTGGTCCAGCATCTTTGGGAAAGAGCGGTTGGCCATGTTATACTTAGTGGAATCTTTTATTGTATTAAAAGCAAGATTATGTATTTACAGTATTTAGTTCCATTATATCATGCAGCACTTTACAGATTACAGAGACCCATTAATATTAGTCCCTGTTCACTAATGAAGCTCAATCTAATGCCCCATCTATATTTACACAAGCACTTTCATTTGCAAATTAAGGTCTGTCAGTATTGATGAAATTGGAACATAAAGGAACACATCCAGAGGGTAGTAATAAATGGTTTCATTTTTTAAATGGGCAAAAGTTGTGAGTGGTATGCCCCAGGTTTCAGTCTTAGGGCCAATTCTGTATATCTTCACAAACGATGTAGAGATTGGAATAAAATGTTCAATCCCGGTGTTTGCTGAGGACACAAAGCTTTGTAGGGCAGTAAATTCTCAGCAAGACATAAAATCACTGCAGCAAGACCTAGATCAAATTGAAGCATGGGCTGCAACATGACAGATGCGATTCAATATTGAAAAATGCAAAGTTATGCACGTGGGAGCAAATTTATCTGCAAAAGTTCAAATACACTTTAAGGGGACAGAGGCTGATGTATGAATAAAAGAAGTCTTGGTTTCCCAGTGCCTGGATACCAAAGCATGCAAACAAGAAGACATTCTTTAAACACAAGAAAGCATCCTTGTACACACGAAGTAACATTTCTGCCTGGAATTAGTCTTTAATATCCTGCATTGGCCATGGGTGATTGTCCTATAAAACGTGGATATGCAACTTTGTTACAAATAAGACAAATTTAAAACTGGTTCTGATTACAAGTGGAAAGACGAGAACAGCCAAAAATATTTGTGGCTGATGTGTTGTATTTCCTGTAGTTTAGCAGTTCTAACCAATCCATCTGTGACGGCCCTGTTGGTGGACCACTTCTTTATATTTAGTTATGTTCTAAGTGTTTGCACTGTCCAGGTGCACACTTTGTAATTCTTTTTGCAGGTCTGTCCTCTCTTGCTCAGTGTTATAAAGCAGCACAGCAGTTGAAATGTAGACTGAACTGAGAGAAATATGTAGGCTTCAATTGCTGACGCTTGCTTTGGAAAAGCTACCTGCTTGCCTCTCATGCTAATTGGCTTTAACATGAGACTTTGCAGAGATCCCTACCTGAAGAAAGCAATTTCAGAGAGGTGCCTTTCTCATTTCAGGGAGGTGCCCTCTTAACCCCCCCCCCCGGAAATGAGGGCAGATAGCGTGGGAAGCAATAGCTTCTTTGCTATCTGCTGTTTTTTTTTGCTGCCGTCGGAATAAATTTAAAAAAAACAGCATAGGAATGCATAGTTAGATTCCTATTGGCTATTTCAATTTTTCAATTTTCAATATCCAATAAGAAGCTGGCTATTGCACTGGCCCTCTGCTGCTGTCAATCACTAGAAGAGGACCTGATGAAGAACTTCAGGTCCCCCTCTGCTGATTGACAGCAGCAGTGGGCGGGTGCAATAACTAGTCTGCTATTGGCAATTGCAAAGTGAAATAGCATATAGCAATCTAGCTATGCATTCCTATGCTGTTTTTTTTCCTTTTCTTCTTTTTCCTCTGCCTCACGGCGGCCTTTCGCAGGGAAAGATTTACTCTGCTAGATATACAGCAGGTCAGATACACCTAACTATGATTTCTGAATAATCCAAGAAACGTCTCAAACTGAGATCAGAGTGATGACATTGACACAAGCCCAAAGCCCGTTGACAAGGGTCCTGAGACAGTTCTTCTCTCAGGCCCATTTGTAAGTCCCATTGATATGTGTCATATGAGAGCCCTAGCTAGCTAGCATGTCCATGAAGACCAAGAAGAATCTAAAGGTGCCCATACACCTGACGATTATCGTACGATAATTGCGGGTGATCCCGCGATCGTACAATAATCGTCAGGTGTATGGGCAGTGTGCGACCGCATTTACTGTACAGTCACACGACTTTAGTCTTACAAGCACGCTAGAAAACATGCCGAAAATCGTACGATTTTTGGCGAGTTGGTAGTGCGATCGCAAGACGAAAGCCGCACACTGCCCACTCAGCATTGCAATCATCGGCAAGCCGCCCCTCAGCGGGGAGGGCTTGTGATGATCGCAAGTACGATCTGCCTGTCCAAGATGGGCAGGTCGTCCAAAATTTTAATCGGCTTGGAACCAGTGCACAACGAAAGTCGTGCAATGGTTGTAAGGTGTATGGGCAGCTTTAGAAACACAAAGATCTGGTTTTGTACTGGACTGTGTACACTTTGGGGTACATTTAAAAAGCCTTCGTATGGTTAACAAAAAAAAGCACAGAAAATGTGCTCTGCTCTTAGCTAACTTCAGAATCAATGACAATTCTGTAAAAGAAAAATGTCCTGTCACAGTCACATGACCTGGTCTTCTCCAATCACAGCACTCTCTGTTCCATTGCACTTTGTGGAGCTTTGCCGGCTACACACTGAGGCCTAATTTTTATGAATGAGATGGGTCACGGTGTGCATAGCGCACACAGAGAGAGAGTGCATAGGGATATCAGTCTCTGTTATTAATGGGCCCCTTTATGTCAGTATACCCAGATCTTGGAGGAGTAATGCCCCAACACTTGTAGGCACCTATATCAACTGCTTGCCTTTGCTGTTCAGTCACCATGGGGGCCGAGTTATTTGCTTCAGGTAGGAAATCCAGCTTTTGTTTCAAATTTACTTTAAAAGTTAAATCAGTTAAAGTAATTAAAGTGACTCATGTCATTCCTTTTGCTATCCCATCTAACAGTACCTGTGCATAGAGGCTGTTGTACCTGTGGCTCATGTTATTGCTGAGTGCATCCAATAATTCCAGCCAGCTGGAAAAAATAAATGATGTCTTGGTATTCAGGCTGACTTGCTGTACTCATGCATTGCAGATCCGACTTCTGAATTTAAAGTAGATTTTTAGACAGTTTGAAAACTGTGAACAGCTGGTAACTAGGAATTGTTAGAGAGCTGTGAGATGAGAGAGGGAAGCATAAGAATTTACACAGGCCTCTATGTTCAGGTACATGGGATGAGTAGTATGGGCCATGGTAAGTGTTCTTATATATTTATCAGACTGGTTTATTTTTGTTTTTTACATGTGAATTTTTTGGCCCATGCTCTTCTCTTCTAATAATGAGTACGTTTGTTGATAATGCACAGCTACCTGGTCTATATTAGAAAGAAGACATTCTAATCCCTATGACTTGTATGTCTCTTCTGCAGGGGTATATTCAGCTATTGCCAAAGAAAAGCGAAGGCACAGATCCCATAAATATCTGTGTCTTCGAGTTGGGAAGCCAATGAGGAAAACATTTGTTTCTCAAGCCAGCGCGTCAATGCAGCAGTACGCACAAAGAGACAAACTAGAGTATTGGTTTGCTGTTCCGCATGAAAGGTAAGCGGCTCCAGTGTATATTAATTGTACATGGAACTGTAGATTTCTGTTTTCTGTGTATTTTATGTTCAACTTGAAGCTTCTTAATTCTTGATTGTTTTTATTTATTGTTTACCATTTAGGTAGTAAGGTAGAATAGCACTTCACTTATTGTATCCCTGCAATAAGTGAATATGATGCTACCAGTTATAAAGTATTCTGTTTGTTCTCAGGTTCTCCTGTTATTTAGGTGTGTTGCATACACCGATAGGAACATGGTACAGGGGGCAGGATCCTTGTTAGCCTGGCTCATAATGTAAATAATAGTCTTAAAGGGTTATTAAACCCTGGCATGTTTTTGCATATATCTACTGCTAGTAAGCAATAGATATATGCAAAACTATTGAAAAAGTTTTTTTTTTTAAGGGTTAAAACTTACCTGTGTCTCCGCCGCACGCTCCCATCCGAACATCTAAAGATTACAGACTCCGTGGGATATCAGAGAAGAGGAGGACGGAGGAGTCCCGCACCAGCGCTGGAGGGACAGATTGGATTAAGAGGCATAATTTAAAGTGACATTAAACCCTCCTAGAATTATGGCCTCTACTGATATTAGGAGTTTCTGAGGATGTTTAAGAACTATGTACAAGTCTTGCACCTTAGACTTCCCATTCTTATTAAGAAAGGTATGACTTTGTGTTAGCAGTTTGGCAGCACATCATCTGCCTATTGCAAGTGTGTAGTTGGGGTAAAGAGGGGGTGCTATCTTTTAATTAAGTTTTTTTTTTTCTGTTTCTGTGCCCTTTTATTTTCACTCCTAGGAATAGAGCATTTACTGTACATATTCTTGATCTATTGGAATTCAATTGTTCCTTGCCTGGAGACCTTTTTGTTCTGACTTGAAGCACGACTTCTGCACACAGCAGTTCAACTCTCCATTGACAACTTTTAGATGTAAACGCTTAGGCTAATAAGGGATTAAGGTGCCTCTATACTCAGCCTTGTTTGCTGTTTCATCTTTGCTTTGCTGGCTGGGAAAATAGAAATCTTACGTGATATTGTTTAGACGTGCTTCTTCTATTAAGTCCCATTGATCAATTTTTTTTTTTTTAATTGATCAACAGATCTCTATGACGGCATAACACTTTTGACTGTGTCTTTAGCTGTTTGGATTACTGCTTTAAAGTAAACCTGTAGACAGACTGTGGGGGTTCACATACATTGTTAAAGTGGACCTTTACCCCCCTTTCACTAAAAATCACAGCAGCATTCAGCTCTGCATGCTAATATGAAATCATCTATTATTAGGGATGCACCGATACCGAGTATTTGGGCAAGTACTCGCCCAAATGCTCCGATACCCTCCCCGATAGCGAAACTTCCGGTCAGAGGAAGATTTCCACTGACCGGCAGTGCTGTAGGGGAAGATGGAGCTGGCTTCCCGGGCAAACAGGAAGCCGGGTGGTGAGTAATGACCTGCCTCTTTATAGGTTATAGTTCTGTTTTAAAGAGAAGCTGTCACTTTGCAATGAATAACTTTCTATGGAGCAACCCACTCCCAGTTATACTCGCATTACCACTGATGTGACACTGCTCCTGCCTCTGCTGTCGCCTCTGCCTAGGGGTAGATGTGACACCTTTTTCATTCACCGTGCAGTGGTCTGGCAGCCAGTCTCTAGGCCTGACCACTGTCCCATGACGAGGGGGTGAGATCTCGGTTTCTCCAGCTTACACACTGAATTCCATTCTTGGCTGCAGGATCACTGGTAATGTAAGTATTACTAGGGCAGATGGGACTTGCTCTATTATAAATAGGGCTATTAGAAATACACTGCTACCTTTGTCTCTTTAAAAAAAACTCCCCTTTCCTCTGTAGCTGCAAGCACTGTTGAGCAATTCATCCATACAGAGTTCACAGCAGAAGAATTCCAGGTCTTTTTCTCAGCAGCTCTGCTAACCCTGCTTTCCCCTTCCAACAATCATTTAGAAGCTAGTTCGCCTTCCCCCCCACCCCACCCTACCCTCTCAGAGCTCCTACTCTGTGTTTACATTGGAAATTAAAAGGCTGCTGAATTGCTGCTAACATGGGGGAGCAAGTTGAGCTGAGCTGCCTAAGTCACTGCTAGGAGAGGGGAGCTGAGCTGCTGAGAGAACAACTTGGACACTTGTGCTGTGACGTTTGAAGATAAATTGCTCCACAGTGACTACAGCTATATAGGTCAGTGGGGGTTTGTTTTAAACCCCATTCACGGTTTGTTAAGAATATGTTTTAAAGCATGAAACATTGCTTCTCTGTGCAAGAGCTTCCTGAAATAAAGACCAGTCACTGCTGCTCTCTCGTTGCATAAGGTGACTGGTCTTGTATCCACCCCCTCCTGTCGTTTTCTGCAGGCAGTCTGTAGTGGGTTGAGCATGCTGGGTTCCCTCCCAAAGCTCTACTTTCTGAACAGGCTGTGAAGTTATTTGGTGCAAACAAAGTGAAATTGTATGTCTTTTGTGACTATTGAGGGATTTATTTCAATGAAAGTTTGTGTCCAGAGTTCGGCTTTAAAACCTCTAAATAACGCAGGATGCTGAATAAGGTTGGAACTTGGCACCATCTCTGATAATATTGCAGCGTTCACCTCCGACACTGTTGGGTTGCGTTGCTGTAAAAGATAAAAGCTGTTCTGACAGGTTCACTTCAACAGCATAATTCCCATTTCTTTAACAATTACCTCATACTTTCATTTGCTTTGTACAGGACAGACCATCTTTACTCGTTCTTCATTCAGTGGAGTCCAGAAATCTACGCTGAAGAGATCGGGGAATCCTCTCGAGAGCCGGGCTTTGTTGTGGTTAAAAGGAACGAAGAGCCTGAGAGCTCTGAAGGATCCACAAATGATTCGACCACACGATTGTGGGAGGTAGGTGGCAGCATTCTATATCTCATTATCTACACCGCAATACTTTCTTAATGAACCCTTTCTATTGCTTTAGGCTTTTGTTTATTGCTTTAAAATACCGAATACTGTGGATTCTGATTTATGTCTGCAGAAATCATATTTATTGTCAGTGTATCAATGTTTGTATATCCAGCGATGGCAGCAAATCATATTCCATAAGCCAAATGTGTCTCAATGTTTTCTAATATTGTGGCTAGTGAAATGTTGACGCTAATGGGACTTGTGCGTCAGTATGTGTATCAAAGTAGACATGTATCTTTTAGGACAAACTAACAACTTTACTTGACAGCCTGTCCCCTCCTCTGTTGATACGTTGTCTGTGCTCCTAAGCCACCCTGTAGTACACTCACCCTAACCAAGTAGGGGACCCAGTATTTCTGGGTGTGGGGGGGGCGGGGGATCATGTGACTCTTTGCCATTTCTTCCCTAAAGGGTACCTGAGTGGCTAATAACCAGCCCAGAGCACAGTGTGGTTGGTAGTGGGGGAAGTCGTTGGCTCCAACCAGACTGAACTGGGTGAACAGAACAGCAGCGAAACGCAGAGAAGGTACATATTGGAGGAGAGGAGGAACGATTTATGAAGTGAACTCATTGCTTTGCCTTGAGATACTAGTTCTACAGCAATATATAGTAGTTTGGTAGTGTAATAATGCATTGTACTCAAAGTAATAAAGCAGACGTTCATTACATAAGTTACTAACCTAGACCTTGAGGTTTGTAGTGAGCTCCGGTGTCCGCCATTTGGGATAGACATCTGACAGCTGCTTTTGGAGGCTTTTTTTTAAGGTACAGGCTAGAGTCTAGGGCTTTCAGCCTGATCTTGACTACTTAGTAAATGAACAGTCTGGAACACGAATGCAGCCAGTGAAGACAGAACTCCCATCCTGTACTCATGTTCTGGCTCGGTCATTTACTAGGTAGTAAGTGGTGATCGATCTGTTGACTACATATAAAAATATTAGCAGTGTCTGCTTTCACATATTGCTCTTACAGGTACACTAGAACAAAACATGAATGTTTTCCTGGTCGGCTCCTATTTTCAACCTGGTGGTCATCTTGTACGGCCGGTTGTATCTTATAAAATCTTCCATCTGCTAGTATTCTTGCTTACTGTGTCCGAATCTGATTGTGCATTTATTCAGTCCAGTGGGTTGCCATTTTCTGTGCACTGCCCTGTGTACTTCTCAGAGCACTGTGACCAGAGGATGCAATGCCCACAGGAAGCATTGTGGGAAACTTGCTGGATCTGGATGAACATATGCAAAAACATATAAAAAGGAACTGATTAAACTCTTGAGTGATGGTAAACTGAGTGGACTTCAATGTTAGCCGGTTGCAGTGTTTCCAGGATAACATTTTCATTTCAGCATTTTTTTGTTTTTTGGTCTTGAGTTTCTCTCTCATGTGAATCTGTAATTTTGCTGCTACAAAGCAAAGTAACACTGCAGATAGCATGAGCATATTCAACTTTTATAGAACCAGTCCAACTCTCCAATGCACCTAGGAGGATACTGTGTAAGTCAGCATAGGACTGGGGCTGGGGCAGGCAACACCATTCCTTCAGTTGTGCTTTAACTACAAATCCCAACATGCCTCTGTCTTTGGGAGTCATGCCTGTAACGGTCAGTCTTCCAATGCCTCATAGGACTTGTAGTTCCACAACAGCTTGAGGGCTGGCGTTGCCTACCCCTGGGCTAGGGTAATTGCTTTCCCTGTGTGTCAGTGCTTGGGTCTGGCTGTAGGTGGCTCGGTTACCAAGCACTGCATTGTGGGGTGGGATGTTTATATTTCACTTCAGGTTTGTGGTCTTCCTTCCTCTATGCTACTGAGCTCCAAGCAGGAAGAGAGCACAATGGTTATGCTGGTGGGCATAGAAGAGAGATTGAGAGAGGACTGGAATGCCATGTATCCGCTGTGGTTGCACTGGAAGCAAAGCAATACACTACTGGCCAAGATTAGGGGTTGATTTGCGGTTCAGCTAACCACAGCATTCTGACACCCCATTCCAAGGAGTTCTCCAAGTCTTATACTTGCCTATTCTTGCTGATCTAAGATGTGTGGCCTGCTTGGACCTGCACAGACACCACTGCAGAAGCCTCATGGCTTGTCTCCTCTTCCAGGCTTTTGTAGAATAATTCCCAGTCATCCCTTTGGTGAGTCCATCTATTATACATCCCAGTGGTAAATGGTCTCTCTATAGGAACGACTGGAGATGAAGAGTGGTAATGTGCGTGGCAACACATGCAGCATGCACTGAATCTTTATACTTGAGGTGCATTACAACTAATTCATTTTCAATGGGCTGCCTGACACAGCATGCCTCAATGACCAAATACACACCTGTTGTGGCACAGGGCATGGTGGTGTGAACCAGCTCTTAAAATACAGTATAGCTACGGGAAAACTTTTTTGGATTTGCATAGTGGTGAGGGGTTAGGACCCCCATCAGGTTTTTATTGCAGTCTCTGGCCTTGTTAAGAAGGTTCACTAATTGTCCTTAACACCAACATCACTAGAATAATAGTGAGGGTAAATCCAGCATTAAGAGTTGCCATCAGAACAGAAATAGAGGGGTAAAAATCTCAGGGAGACCCGGGAGAGGTATTGGGTTTAGATTTCAATTCTGAATAATTTTAAATCATTTAATTATTGGTCATTTTCTTTGAATCGCACCTAGTGTCTGTAACCAGCACAAAGCCTCTGTTTACACTTAGGTGTTTTGTAAATCAAAGCTGGGAGCTAGAAAGGCGCTGAACACAAGGAATTCCATTGTTTTCTGTGGCCCCTGTTCACACCTAAGGCCTGGTTCACACCTGTACGTTTTGTAGCGCGTTCAACGCTCTACGAATGCTCTACAAAACACTCAAACATGAAAATCCCATTGTTTTCTATGGGTATGGTTCACACCTTACCGTATTTCAGCCCGTCTGAACGTGCTACAAAGCGGCCTATGCCTGAAAAGGTACATGAGCTTCTTTGCAGCGTTTTTGTCGCACGTTTCCATTGGGATACAGTCAAGTAGCCCTCGGAAACACGCGTTTATCGCACGTTTTTTTTTACTGCGAATCGCTGAAAAAACGCGCGTCTCGATACGCCTAGGTGTGAACAGAGCCTGAGTGTTAATTTGCTTGTCGCAAAACACCTGTTACTGGAAAAAGCTACTTTTCTGCAGATTTTTGCCCTTTAGACTTCAATGGAAACATGTTTAAGTGTTTTGTCAAGCAAAAGCCAGCCTTCTTCTGGATAAAAATGGAGGACAGCACAAGCTGCAAAACCTGCTACAAAATGCTTGGCAAACGCGTCAAATGTGCATATAAATGCTCAAAGTCTCTTGAAAAATAAAACCTGAAACCCAGACGCTTAGTTGTGAACGGAACCGAAGTGTCTGTAATGAGTAAATTTCAGTCACTAAGGTCCGGACAGAGAAATGTAATGTCAGATGTGGATTAGATTATTATTCCGGTCAGGTTAGAAGGTCTTGGTGACACCAAGTAACTTATTCACAAAGAATACAGAGCAGTTCAATGGCAGAATGCATGGCTTTCAGCCACACCTCATGGCTACCTTCCTCTGGCCCCTTTATCATGTCTACCTTGAAACTTGTTTTCTGTTAATAGATATCAGTGCTGAGAGAAATAATTGTTCTGCTTTTGCAGACTCTTCTCTTTATAAATGTTAACTGCCCGGCCTTCATGCAAATCACTTGGTCTTAAAATAGACCTTTAGGGTTCGTTCACACCAGATGCAGTGCATTCCGCCCCGATTCTGGCTGAAACGCACTGCATCGCATTGCGGCCGGCTCACTTTTTTGTTAGGGCAGAAGGGGGCGTGACGGGCCATTGAAGTGAATGGCACCGTAGCCACACTCTCCGGCCGCAATGCGATTTGCCCGCACGGGATCACAAAGCACATTGTGCCTGCGGTACGGTGCAACTAAAGTAGTGCTTGCAGCATTTTGATCGCATCGCACCGCACTGGACCGAACCGCAGGCACAATGTGGCTTGCGAACCGGCCAGGCTGCGTTCAGCATCTGGACGCAGCCTGGTGACATCTGGACTCCAGAACCCATCAGGCTGCATACATATCTCACCAAAGCTGCATACAGATCTCACCAGGCTGCATCCAGATTTGGACTCCAGATGTCGCCAGGGCTGCGTCCAGATGTCGCCAGGGCTGCCTATTGGGTCTCTCCAGCACGGCTTATTGCGTCTCTCCACAGGCTCTGACAGGTGTTGTGCTGCACACCCAGCATCCCCAACCCCTCCTAGAGCGCTTCTTCCTTGCCTTAGCCCGATATACGGCGCGTTGTGACCCGAACGGAGCGGGTGCCCATCACATGCACACTCCGAGGCTGTATTCAAGGTGTGGGGCTGCCTCGAGCAGTGCCTGCACCTTGAATCAGGAGGAGGAGACGTGGGACCTGGCAGGCAGCGTCCAAGACGGCTACTGCCAGGTCCCCGGAAGGCTGCTTCAGGACCCCACAACCGCGCGACCTGAGGCGGCCGATCCGATTAAAAAATTTAAAGGGCCAGTATCTGCCGTCAGCATCGGGGCATTTTCACGAGTACAAGTACTCATGAAAATGCCCTGTATCGGCCCCGATACCGATACTAGTATTGGTATCAGGACATTCCTACTTTAAACCCCATTTTATGGTTTGATTGTTATATAATTATTGGTAGGTGGTGTGGCACCAAAACCACATACAGTGCGGCAAATACTTATTTGATCCCAGGAAGAAAAATGCTGACGATGACCCTAAGAACACCATCCCTACAGTCAAGCACGGAGGTGGGAACCTTATGCTTTGGTGCTGTTTCTCTGCTAAAGGTACAGGCCGACTTTGCCGCATTGAGGGGCCAATGGACGGGGCCATGTATTGTAAAATCTTGCCTCAGCCAGAACACTGAAGATGGGTCGTGGATGGGTCTTTCAGCATGACAATGACCTAAAACATACC